GGCACCGCAGATGCGTTGTAAGGGTCGCAGATGCGACCAAGAGTGAGGAGGGAAAGAGCCGCAGAAGCGTGGAGCTGAGCGCACCTGCGATGGCACAGGTGCAGGTATTTGACCGCAGGTGCGGTTTTGGGCGGATAAGTGATTTTCGCAGATGCGACCCATGGACCGCAGATGCAGTCACGCAGGTGCGTGTTTGAGGCCACATGTGCGGAATCCCTGGGCCAGAACGTATATAACCCTCATTTGCGATTTTTGAGTTATTCTTCACCATTTTCATGCGGGTTTGAGCTTGAAGGAGCTATTTGAAGAGGGATTTCAAAGGGATTTCGTAGAGGTAAGGTTTTTGGACCCTAAACTCGTTTCTATGGTGTTATTTCACTTATTAGGCTTGAAAATTATGGAAGTTAAGGGCTAACAATTGGGAATCAGGGCTTGGTATTGGAGACCTTGACTTGAGTATTTGAGGGGTCATTTGTGGTTGGATTTTGGTACTTTTGATAAAAATGAACTCGTGGGGGAATAATGATTCCATTGATGTAAATTTTGTCAGATTCTGAGACGTGGGCCCGGGGGTCGGGTTTTGACCAATTTCAGGATTTTTATGTAATTTTGATTATTTTTGAGCGGGTTTTTCTCCCTTAGCAAATTTTGAAGGGTTATATACTGATTTTGGTTAGATTTGGAGCATTCGGAGGCCTATTCAAGAGGCAAAGGCATCGAGGTCTAGAGTTTGAACTGGATAGAGGTAAGTAATGATTGTAAATGCTGTCCTGAGGGTATGAAATCTCGGATTTCACATCGTTGTGCTACTTTAAGGTGACGCACACGCTAGATGACGAGCGTGGGGTCGTGCATCGTTGGGGATTATGACTTAGTCCGTCCCGTATGACTGTTTAAATGCGTATTTGATTGAAAATTGTCTGGTATCATTATGTTTTGGGCTGAATGCCTTATTTAGGCCTCGTGCCAACTGTTTTGGACCTTTAGGGGATTTTTACCCCTATTACTCACTACTTTGACTTCATATTTGTACTCAGTCATGCTATATTCTACTGTTTTCATAACTCAACCATATTTACTCCGTTTTGACATTTTAAATGATATTTTGGGTTGAGCATCATGTTTTTCCGGTGTCCGAGTGGCTTTGAGAGGTTTCTGACTAAGTAAGGCCGAGGGCCTGTGTTATGAGGATACTATGGGATCGGGCTACGCACCACAACAGTGTTATACTGATTCATGATTATGAGGCCGAGGGCCCGATTTGTTACGCCACGAGGTGGCTTGTTATAAGGCCGAGTGACTGTTTATTCATACCACGAGATGACTTGATATTGCGCTTGGGCTGTAAGGAGCCCCTCCCGGAGTCTATACA